GAGAGGGGCGATAGCAGAGCCGGGGGGGCTGCGGCAGGCTGGAGGGGTGGTGGAGGCGGGGGATGAGTGGGCGCGGGCGGGCGGAGCCTGAAAGTCTTGTCGGGGAGCGGGGGAAGGCGTGAGTGCGCGGAGTGGGGGGATGCTGGAGAAGGGGGCCCAGGGACAGCTGGGAGCCACGTTGGAATCAGGGGAGGATGAGCCTTGGGACTCCCAAACCCCCTCAGCCCCAAACCCCCTCGGCATGGCTGAGCAGGACCCGGGACAGGCGGGAGATGCCCCGGACCCACAGAACCCCCCAGCAGCTGTGGGAAAAGGGACCATCATAAACCCAAAGTAAGGACACTGGAAACAGGGAACTCCTGGGAGAGGTTTTTGGGTTTCCTCCTTGATTTTTGGAGGATTTTGTGGCTACCAGACACTCGGTGGCTTCTAGGTATGCACTTGGCCAGTGGGATCTTCAAAGGCAATGCACTTGTTATAAATTGAGGTGAATAATTTGATTCAGCCTTTTAAGATCAATTACTAATTTTATTAATTACAGCAAGCGATAACAAGCAAACAGCGCTGGGTGCAGTTGGGGTGTCCGTGCTCCGCCAAGGGCTGACACCCCTCCCTCTCTTCGGTCACTTTTTATACTTTTCTTGAGAGTTTCACATACATACCTCCCCTGTGTTGTACTGGGCTGGCAACAGCAGATATCACAAGCGGGGTGATCGGTCTCTTCTGCTCCGGTTACCAGTTTCAGCCAGTCCTGCAAGATCTTTCTTACATATAAAGTCATTACTTTGTTTCACTATATTTCCTTGCAGTTACCAGCCTTGGCCAAGCCTGCAAGTTCCATGCCCCAACCCCTACATTTTTCCTCTATCGTAATTTCACACTCTAGATGAACAAACAAGTCAATGCAGTTTTTTACACACTCAACCCTTGATTTTACCCCGAAGCAGAATTTCCGATTCCCAAGCCTTATCTGGAGAGAGGAGGAGGCTGTGATGAAGCGGAAATTGCCCCGGGACCCCCAGGCAGGTGAGGAGGAAGGCAGTGCCCCTTTCCCCCTGTCTCCTGCTCCATCTCCCAGCCCAGCAGGGCCCCCGGCTGCAGGACAGCCCTGCTGCCGATGCTCTCCTGCTGGGGAGGCACTGGGGGGATCTCCTTGCCCTTCCCTCTGGCAGGGAGGCAAATCCCATCCTCTCCTTGTCCTTCCTCCCCTAGACAAG